GCTAATGGCTGAACTCTTAAATACTAAATATTAATAAATTTCGTCAAACACTTTAGACATTTCCGAGGGGCACATACATACATACATACATACATACATACATACATACATACGTACATACATACGTACATACATTCATACGGATACAGTGACGGCATTTAAAGATCCTCTTTTCGGTATTTGAGTGTGGGGGACGAGAAAATTCCCCCAAATTTGAATTTTCTTTATCATCACCATAAATTCTGACATCGCAGTTTTGAGAGAAAAATGGCATATGTGAAATATTTCTGTCTTTATTTTGCACGGTGTCATAACACAGTAGACCGCAATATACACAAAGAAAGTCGTTTGTTTAAAAAATGAGAACGAACAGGGAAAAATTGAACAAGAAAAGTGAAATTTTATACACACTATAAATCCTCTACTTAATTCCCTATTGTGTAATCCTGTCTGCTGAGTATAAAAAGCACGATCTTTTATAGGCAGACAGTGAGGTCAAGAGTACAAATAACTGATGTAGCCATGCGCAAATGTGATGATTCGATGCCCTTGGCAAGTTATTGCCAGTGTGATTTTTAGTTCATTATCACGCTCTGCTGCTACGAGTTTAGGCGCGCACGACTCGAGCCCATACGCATGCGCGCGCAGGCGCGCACACACACACACACACACACACACACACTCATACGCCCACACCAGACACAGACACCAATTTTCACACTTTCATACAGACTCACTTGCAGAGCCTACATAAGCAGGATGTCCCAGAAGGAAAGGTCAGTATTCTGGGAGGTCATAGTATCGGTCATTCCAAGCAAAAACTGTATATGTACATGTGTCCTATTCCGAACGGTTTCCGAGATAGAGCGATTTCACTGTACAGTGTACAGGCGAGCAACACGACATGTCCTCACACAAGCTGCACCGAGATAGAGCTATTTCACTGTACAGACGAGCAACACGCCATGTCCTCACACGAGCTGCACCGAGATAGAGCTATTTCACTGTACAGTACACTGTACAGGCGAGCAACACGCCATGTCCCCACACGAATTGCACCGAGATAGAGCTATTTCACTGTACAGACGAGCAACACGCCATGTCCTCACACGAGCTGCGCCGAGATAGAGCTATTTCACTGTACAGTAGACTGTACAGTGTACAGGCGAGCAACACACCATGTCCTCACACGAGTTGCACCGAGATAGAGCTATTTCACTGTACAGTAGACTGTACACTGTACAGACGAGCAACACGCCATGTCCTCACACGAGTTGCAAAGTGCACTGATGTTGACTGTGGAATTTTCGAAAATGTATTATAACTAGGTAAACTGTACCAACTTTGTCACTTGAACAATAAATACCGGTATTAGAAACAGTACGTAATATCTCTTTCTTATGAACAGTTTTGTAATTGTACAGTGAAACAGCTCTATCTCTGAAACCGTTCGGAATAGGACACACGTACGTGTACATATACACCTTTTGCTTAGAATGACCTATACCATGACCTACCAGAGTATTTACCTTTCCTCATGGGACACTCTGTATAACAATTATAAACCAAACTTGCAGACAATCGGAAGAAAATATACACATTACAAAATCTACGTGTGGTCTCGAATGGTTATTCCGCTCGTACTGTTTCATATAGGCTTAACGTAGCAAGTGCGGAAGTACGTGTTGAGACTGGGGGGGGGGACAGGTTTCGAGGTTTTGACGGGTCTGCACGTTCTCCAGCCCCCGAATACGAAAGGGTAGTTCTTGGAATGACGCCTCTCCGTGGGTAAGGGGTATCCCTCGCCAGAGACTGAGCCGTTGGAGAAATTTTATCATATTCAGCATTCAAAAATTTATCCTTTATGGGCAAGGGCGAGGTGAACATCAAGTTTCCATTTCCAAAAACGGGCTCTTCAGATGAGCCACACAGTCCATGATGACGATTTCTAAATAGTAACAGAAACTCCAGAAGAAACTGAGTGACGGGCTACGTGTATGCGCTTGACGGCCATCTTTTCGTTCCGTTTCCATTTTATAGTTATTTCGTACAGACAGGATTCGGGCACCTGTGTTATTTTCCCACAATATTAGAAGATTCCTTGCCTGTGGTCTGCGTCCCTTAATTCTCCTCGTCAGATTAAATATCTGCTCTAGTGTTCCTTATGCCACAAGTATAGGCCTTTTGCTCGTCTGTTGTAATTATACTCCCATGGTACGTGTATTGATATTTCTTGTTTAGCTTTTGCTTTGACACAATTTGAAACACATTCACAGTTCATTTTGACACCATTTTAAATAGAGACAAGGTTTACCTTTATGCAATTTTAAGCAAATTTAGTATTTACTTTGAAACCATTTTAATCTTTTTTTTTTTACTTGGACACCATTTTTAATATATTTATTCTTTATTTTGACACAATTTTCAATAAATTTAATTTTTATTTTTACAACATTTTAAACCCTTAATATTTTCTTTGACACTATTTGAGTGAAATCAGAGTTCACTTTGATGTCATTTAAATACAATTAGTGTTTATTTTGATGCTATTTCAAACAATTTTAGTGTTTACTTTTACTCCATTTTAAATTAATTTAGTTTTTATTTTGACACAATTTTAATTAATTTTGCGTTTACTTAGACACCATTTTAAACACATTCATTCTTTCCTCTGACACCATTTTAAATAAATTTAATGTGTTTTAGATACACATTTAAATAAATTTGGTGTTTACTTCGGCAGAGTTTTTAATAAATGTATGCAACTTCACGTCAGACGCAAGTAAAACCTAACTCGCATATGGCGGCAGTGCCAGGCACTTGTTTGTTAAGTTGGTAGCTGTTAACATTTGCATTCCTGCTCGTGCCACTTAAATACGCCTCTCAGGTTAGGCTGTAATCATTTTGTTTCACAACACTTCCTCCATCTGTTGCGTCGGTGTACGCGATGTTAAAGCTGTCTGATATTTATGTTAAGGCCGTAGATAACTGTGGTGTTAAGTTTGTTTGAGTTGGGTGCACTGACACTGACGGCGGTGTTATTGCTGATAATGTCTGTATAACGGGGGCGGACTCTTGTTCTGGCGTTAAGGCTGGCGGCGAAGATGTTAAAGATGACGCTATCGTTGTGCTTGGGTATGGCTGTGGTGTTAAGCTTGTCGGTATTGATGGTGCCACGTTTGCCGACTGGTGTGGGGAGTCCAGTTGCCGGTCTCCTGGAGTGCTGGCGGCCATGACCATCATGGCCCTCATTGCCTCGTCATAGCTAGGTGGGGGCGATGAGTCCCTGGGTAGCGCAGTGGTGATGAACTTGTAGGCTCGGTGCTGGTCGAACGGGGGTGGGGGCGTGGGTGTTAGTGGTTCAGCGGCCCCCGCTGTGGGCGAAATGTTTCCTGCTTCCATCCGACTAGTTCCATCAGGTGTCTGAAACATCGGTTCGCAAAGGGTGAATACAATCGTGGAAAGAGAGAACCGTCAAGATGAATTTACCACTGCGCCTGAACAGTGTAGAAGGGCGCTGTCGTATAGCGCCACGTGTTTTTCACTTGTGATCAAGCCAAGGAGGATGAGGTGGACAGGGCATGTGGCACGAATGGGGAAGAAGTGGGATGCATTCAGCGTTTTGGCGGATAAGCCATAAGGAATGAGATCACTAGGAAGATTAGACATAGGTGGGAGGATAATATTGTAGCATGTAGACCCGTTGCTAGGCAAAGACCACGAAACAAAAAATTAGACAATGATCGTTACTAGGAAACGGCCCGCAGACAACAGAAGAATGGTGTTTTCTGAATTCCCCCCTAAGCAATAATTGAACAGAAATAGAGAAACTGTTTTCTATGCGGTCCGTGCTGAAATGTTATAAAGGGGGCAATTGGTGAGAGTTAGTGGAGTGGAGTGCGGTTTAGTCTTTGTGAGCTGTTGCTGTGAGGAACTGGTAGCTGAGGCCGGCGGTAGTTCGGGAACCAAGAGGAAGGGCAACGCCGCCTTTGGAAGCCGTTACCAGACAGCAGGCTAGGAAGACTTTAGTATGTGCTGCAGTGAATCTCAGAGTGTTATCATTAAGGTTGGCAGAACTGCATTCATACTAAGCTAAGCATCAGTGAAAGTGATAACGGGATGGAGGTTGAAACTGCTGTGTGGGAGTTGAGGTGTTTGTTGCGCCGAAATTCCATCTTCAGATGAAGGCAGTATGCGCCTCCGAATTGTTAGCATCTATCTACCAGGTGACACGGTGTCATAAGTGAAGAGACACAGCACTAATTTAGGCTATCTCTGTGTTTTTCCAGATAATTCACTAAGCTGAATTATAATCTACGTAAGATCGTCACTGTATTTCGTTATATTCAATGTTATTATAAATGTATTGCCACGAGAGAGAGTGACTGTAGACGGGGTGTGGATTGGAGGTTGGATTTATTGGTCACTTAACACACACAGTTCGTCACTACAAATAACGATAAGACTATTGCTCATTTCCTCACTTGACAAATCACTACAGCACATGCTGTCTTACTAGTCTGCTGTGTCTTCCACAGTCGTCCCCTGATAACGGCTTCTAACAGTGGGGTTTCTTCAACTGTACCGATCAAGTCTTCTCTTCACAGACTACCCTATAACTATCTCTTTCTCTAGTTGTCCTCCATATAACATCTCGGCGCGAACCGCATAGAAAACAGCGTTCATTTTTGTGCTCCAATCGTTTCCATGGGAATATGTTTGTTTGCGAAGGCGTTACTCAGTAACGGCTGCATATACATGCTTATTAAGAATATGTTGTCTAGCAGCGGATGTTGTTTCGTTGTTTTGATGCCGTTACGTAGTAACGGGTCTACACGCTACAATGTGCTTGTCCTGCATGGACTACTCAGTAGAATGTCGTATATATATATATCTTAAATATCTATATTGTTTTCTTCTCTCTTTGTTTGATTATGCTGACTCTGTAATTGGCTTCTGAGTTATCACGTAAAAATGAATAACTGAATTGAATTACGTTAATAATACATATATTTGATAAGAAGCTAGTAAATGCGTTTGTTTAGAAATGAATTGGGAGACAGCTTATGTGTCGTTACCAGAATATAGAAAGTATAATGTACACGTAAATATATTTAATAATTATATGAAATCCGAGGTCCTCACTACCCTGCTTCTGCAGATAAGGATTTCAAATGTATGATGTTTACTGATTAGAGAGATGGTTACCGGTTTTGAGGGCGAATATTATGTATTCATCTTCAGAGTACCATACTTTCTTACATACCTACCCTGAAGATGGAAACAGTAAGTTATCTAAACGTTGGTACCTATCTGTCAGAATACACGGCATCGCACCCTGAAGACCGGTAAGATAAAAATAGGCAAAACTGTCCCTGTAACAGCCCGTGGAGGTCCATAGGTTTATAAGACGTCGAGGCTCCCACATTTTCTAGATGATCGGCTCACAGATGGCTGTGAGATTGTCAGCCTTACGCGCCAGATGCTCTTTACCCCCAGGAAGATTCCTGACACTCATTTCTGTTAGATGCTGAGTCGACCCCAGGGCAACATTGCATATGGATGGGTTAGGTCAATTGAAGAAATCAAGTGACCTCATCGGAAATCGAACCCGCGACCTTCCAGCTTGCAGCATAGCGCCTTAGCCAAGTATGCTACCGCGTGCTTCTTCCAGCGGGCCAATAATGTCTGTATTCACCGCCCTGAGAAGCTTCTGTTCGTATGGTTGTGTACCATGGATTACCCCTCCCTTAGATGAAGCAGTCTGGCTGATGATGGGTAGCCGTGTACCTGTTGAGAGTGCCTGTTTCTGTGGAGCAGACACCATACCACATAAGCGAGCAGAAAGAACAGCAAGGTGCCACTGGTGAGGGACGCCAAGTACTGGATGCCAGCAATCTGCACCAGCCAGTAAGAGAGACCCAGCAGCGTGATCCCCATTATAAAGCTTCTCAGCATCCAGGTGAGATGCATCGCGTCTCCTGCCTCAGCTGTCGCCAGCGGACGGCACGTTCTTTGCCGGGAACCGAACATCGGCGCATTGCCTCTCCGCGCTGGGTAGAACAGCATCCTGCTGAATGCGAGGACAAGTCATCATGGAGCAAGAACTGGCTCTGCTGAAGGGGAGAATATGCTTTACATTACAAGAGCAATCTTTCTGGAATGGAGAAGAGAGGAAGAACATGAATTCATGAGCTGAGCGAGGAACAAGACATGATGGAGTAAGAACTGGCTCTGCGGAAGGGGAGAATTTGGATTACTTTACAGGATCCGTTGAAATTTGTGCCGTTGGAGGCTACCCGAGCGTCGTACCTTTTAGTGTTCTACAATCGCTAATAATGTCACTGAGGACTGAAGAATTTGGAGCGACAAATGTGACATTTCAGCATCCTGTTGCATTGACTATAAAAGGTACGACACTTCACGTAGGCCAGTGAAGTGCCGTGTCGCAATTGGGATTCCAAAAACTTGCAACTTTCGTTAAGATAATTTACTTTGTAGAATGTAAAGTAAAAACCATTGCGGTAATTTAATTTTTTTTGTAGCTATCAGTTTGATGATGATAACTTAGGAACCAGAGGAGGTAGATATGTGAAATTAGGTAGATAGACCAATCCAATCCATACCATCCCATCATATCTCTCTAAGATCCATTTTAATATTGTTCACCCACCTATGCCTTGGTCTTCCCGGTGTTCGTTTTCCTTCTGGCTTTCCCAATATCCTATATGCATTCTTCTTCTCCCCTATTCCTGGTACATGCCCTGACCACCTCATCCTCCTTGACTTGATCATTCTAATTATACTTGGAGAAGGGTACAACTTATGAAGCTCCTCATTATGCAGTTTCCTCCAACCTCCTGTCACTTCATCTCTCTTCGGTCCGAATATTCTCCTCAGCATTAGCATCCAGATTATTCGTCATCCAATTTCGAACTCAGATTTTTAATTCCACGGGAAAGCGCCTGGCATTTAGTAATAAGACACGTTATCGAATCTCAGCAGATGCACTGACAAATCTGAATTATTTAACCTTTTCCATGTTACGGGCAAGGTATATCGTTTAGAATCACTGGATATACGAGTATATTCTGGCCTTGATTTGTTTGGAGTCCTAGAATATCACTGAAAGAAACGTGTCTTGCCATTTCTCAATGGTTAAATTTAATTTGTTTCTTATGGATAGCTGTATTGGTAGTGTTTAGAATATCTGCTGCATGAACAAGGAATCGGGGTTCGATTCTCCCTCAGTGACAAAGGAGCGTTCACGCAGGCTTTGGACCCCACTCAGCCACTTCTCCAATGGGTTCTGGGTGCTCTTCCAGCGGGGTAAAGTGACCGAGTCTTGAAGCTATCACACTCTGTCACCTAGTGCCGACGTTATTCATGTATGCATGCTTTCACTGACCCGTATGTATCCATGTCGAGGTGACTAATTAAGCACAGGGACTAATTTACCCTTTCATCTTAAGTATTCGTGGTCTTTAAATAATGTTAATTATATAGATCTGAGGCGGTGACTAGGAAGAATGCCGTCTTCTGGGATGTGGCGCCGTGAAGATATTATATAAACAGACGATTCGATGAATATATCAGACCCATTTTGAACCCTGTAAATTGAGGCGCCAGTTCTGCTTAATATCAATTCCACGCTGGCTTATTCGATTTTGAAGATTGAGGAGACATGTTTCTCCGAAACGTCAGTTGATTTCCAATGGACTCTACGGTTGTCCGGGTTCGAGCCCAGGTCAGGTCATGTGGGATTTGTGGTGGACAAAGTGGCACTGGGGCAGGTTTTCTTCGAGTACTTCGGTTTCCCCTGTCAATTCTCATTCTACCCACTGCTCCACACTCAACATCTATCATCTGCTGCTGGTACAATAGGTCTGTAAGTGGCCGACGTACCAAGTGAGTCTCGCCCCCATGACAAAAATTCTGCTGTCCATTGTACATGTTCTCAGGTACGAAGGGAACAGAAAATATTTTAATCAGCTGAGCAAATGTTACCTCGAGCCGTGTGGTTACAAAGCACTCATAGTCAGCACATCTGTTTTGTCCCAGTTTTAGCACAGTGGCTCCTACACTAATCGTTTTAGTGACTCTGTGACCATGGATCTTAAAATAACTGCGTCTGTTTACAGCGCCGTGGCATCTCACTGCGGTTACCGCTGTATGCATTTGTACCGGCCTGCACTGCCGGGGAATTTGTTTCAATTTGAACAACTAAGCGAAAGTAACAGACCGTGGAGGCCCATAGGGTTGGGAGACGTCGAGGCTCCAACATTTTCTAGACCAGTGGTATTCAAACCCCCAGATCACATGATCTGCATGATCGGTTTATGCATGATTTGTGAAGGGTAAAGTAGCACTGACGCGGGGTTTCTCCAAGTACAGGTACTCCTCATTTTACGAAAGAATTTTCGTTAAAACGAAGCGTGTTAATTCGTACATATTTTTCTCTTAACGAATCTTATTTTCACCATAACGAACAACTTAACGTACGCAATAGCGGCGAAATTTACAGGTAGATTACATGCAAATCTTAATTTGGATTTACGAATTTTCAACTGACGAACAGTTCTTATGGAACCAGTTGCTTTCAGAAACGGAGGGATATGTGTACTTAGCTATGCCATGCCAGTTCGCCTCCGTGACCTTTAGCTCGCAAGCGAAATATACAGACCGAGCGACCACCGCTTGTCGGTGGATTTAGTGCCGACTTTTGTGGATAGAGGGTGTCAAGTGGTCAGTGCAACGGATCCCCACGGCCGTTAATCTCGGGTATCTAGACCGAAGCCTCTAATTCTCCATTCAAGTAGCTCCTCAATTATCCTCACGAGGCTGAATGGACCCCGTTCGAGACCCACTGCTTCTCAGAAAATCTTGGAGCGCCTGGAATCGAACCCGGGACCTCTGGATCTATAGCCAGGGATTCTGACCACTAGATCACAGAGGCGATCTCTAATTCCATCAGCTGCTCCATATTCGGTTGTCATCATCTCATCCGACATAATAGAGTCTGGACATTGGCAACTTCGCTAAATAAGAAAGGTAAAGTAAAGTCCCTGTGCTTAATTAATTAATTGGCACCATGTCATGAAGTCATATAGGGGAGTAGAGGTATAGCTCCACCAATCTTGACCTCGGCACTGAATGGAGATGAGTGGTCAGTTTCACGCCTCGGCCGCTTTATCCCCGGTACCTTTTGTATAGGAGGCGGTCCCAGAGTCGGGCTGAACGCTATAAATAAAAGAAAAATCTTGCATCTGCCGGGAATCGAACCCCTGCCGTCCTGACCCTAACCCTGAGCTATCCCGGCTCCTTACCCCTCTACGAACTGACCCCAAAACTGACCCATAATACTTCAGCATTAGTGGATTTACCGTCATTCCGTCCGTAATCCTAATTTTAGTTACACTAACGTCTGTATAATGTCATGAAGTGTTCCGAATGGGCGAGACTTGGCCCATTTGTGTGGGAAAGGGCGCAGGAACTGTTACCTCGTTCTGCAGTGAACTGGAACAGCTTCCTGAGGCTTTGTTACAGATTTAAAACATATTTGGCCATGTTTATATACGAAGGAGAGTCAGTAAATAGGTCAAAAGTGGAAGTAAAACAGCTGTAACGGATGTAATAGGTTTCCTACGTGTATCACTAGGTAGCAGCACAGTTCAGCTTCGAGACAGTCTATGCGGCAGACGTGCATGCGCATGTTCAGAGGCTGGTTTCAGTAGTCAAAATGGCGACCGTCTTCGAGGAGTATATTACCGAAGAGCAGCGTTCTGTTGTGCTTTTTTTTGTGGGCAAAAAGACTCAGCGCGAAGTATATTCACAAGGAAATATTTACTATTTACGGTGGGAAGTGTTTGTCGCGTACATAGTGTTCACATTGAATTCTTTCATAGTCACCAACTTCAGACCAGCTTAAGGATTCCAACTTGTATCAGCAGCTATTTCCTGGGATTAAAATGTGAACACTTCCGTCTCTCCCAAGAATATTCATACATGGTGCTCTACCTCCAGGATCACTACAAGCTTCATAACACTGCAAATTATGTTCTAATTCAGCTACGTGCCGATCACAGTGGCTCCGCGGTCTGAGACATGAACCGTCGTCGCCCGCTCAAACACTGGGGCCGTGGGTTCGAATCCCACTCGAGGCATGGATGTCTGTGTGCGTTTATTCTGTTTGTGTTGTTCTCTGTGTAGGTAGTGGCTTTGCGACTGACTGATCTCCCGTCTAAGGGGTCCTGCCGACTGTGTATAGATTAAGAAACTGAAAAAGCGGCCAAGGCCCAACATAGGGCTCTAAAGCCATAATCGAATACAATGAAACTGCTTAAGTTCGAAGTAGAATCATACTCTAACGATATATTGCTTCAAGTAAATACTGTCGAAAGAAATGCATATAAATATGAGCCAGGTAAGATAAAAGTTACGGGCTTGTCGACCGGGGTTTGATTCCAAGCAGAGGAAGGGATATATATAATCACATTGCGTTTAGACTGGCTGTGGGGCCCATCCAGCGTCAGATCCAAACGGTGCCGGGGTCTCTGCCAATGGGAACAAAACGGTCGGAGAATGAAACTGATCACACATCTCCACCTAGCGCCGAGGTTGAAAGTCCATAGAAGCACGGGTCCAAAAACACTGCTGAAGTTTATTAGTCACAGAAATGTACCTACTTACAAATTCAGACGGAGGCAATATATACTCGACACCGGAGTTCTTTAATTCTCATGCGACGAAAGGGCGAGCGAATTTTCGGAGCCCTGTTCAAGGACACTGGAGTAGAATGCCGTGAAGATGGAGTTATGGGGTTTATCCGAAACGTTAGTACGTATCTACCAAACTACACGGTGTCACATTCAGGAAGAACATAATATTTATACCGTTATGGTAACCTCATATCACAAGAAATCCACTTTACTGACTGAATGGCATTGTGGTCCAGGTTCTTTTCTTGGTGCGTTAAAAGTGGCCAAGCTTATCAGAAGGTTCGTCTGATTTCATGGAAACCGAAGATGATCTTGTTCACAAAAGATTAACGCAAGCCTTGTAATTTGAAGCACGAATGTGAATAATAGTTTGCTTTGGAGCACTAGGTACCAGCGCC